TCCTTCCGTCCTTCCTTCCTTCCTTCCTTCCTTCCTTCCTTCCTTCCGGGACAGTGAGCAGGAGGTTGGGTGGGCACAAGTAGCCAGGGCTTCCACAGAGCCAGGGCCAATGTCTGCCACTCTCAGTCACAAGGATGAAAGGGCAGAAGGATCCTGGTAACAGCTGTAAACATGGCTCCCAATGGTCTGGCAGACAGGAACTGAAAGTACACCCTCCAGCACCCACTCTTGGGACTGCCACACCCTTCCCACTCACTCAGTAACCCCCATGGAAGGGGCCATCACAAGCAGAGGGGAGAACTCATCTTTACAGGGTCCTCATGAGCAAATGCATAGGGACCCCTGCTACGGATGGGCTCCCACCAAGTCACCCTCCCACAGCACCTGGCTTCCTCACCTCCCCTGCTCTCCTCCTTGTGACCCAGCTCCTGAAGTCCACCAAGTGCCATCTGCTCCTGGCATGGGATCATCCCATTTGGAAGGCTCTTGCCTCTTGTCCAGAACGATCTCAAAGGCCTAAGATCCCTTCAGCCACCCAGACTTGGGGCCTACTGCCTGTTTCATATAAGGGACTTGAGCATCTGAATGCTTTGGTATCTGAGGGGACTCCTGGGGCAAGTCCCTGGGATACTGAGGGATGTCAGAATTTACCCCTCCACAATACCACCACTTCGTCCTGGGCTCTGGGTTTAAGGAAGGCAGCTCAGCCGAAGCCTCCAGGCAAGGCCGTGTGCTGCAGTCTCTAGGACACCCTCAGGATCAAAGATTATGGTGATACCAAACCCTTGGAGGGACAGCCAGGCACAGAGCCAAGAGTGACTTCTCCCTGTGAATTCATCTAATGAAGAAGCAAGAAAATGACCCCGGCTGTTTTCTTAATGTAGCACCAAGAAAATGACCCCGGCTGTTTTCTTCTGTGGTGCTGGGAATTGAACCCAGGGTCTGGCACATCCTGGGCAAGCACCTTCCCCAAGCTACACCCCCAGCCAAGCCCCTTTTGTAACATTTTACTTTGAGACAGACTGGCCTTGAACTTGCTCTGCCAGCCAAGCAGGTCTTGAACTTGCAATCCTCCTGCCTCAGACTCCTAAGTAGCTGTAATTTCAGGCCAGTGCCTCTAGGCCTGGCTGTCTGTCTGTCTGTCTGGTTTCTGATGAAGGTTGGTTGGTTGGTTGTCAATTTAAAAAGCACAAGCAGAGTCTACCGCAGGGCACAGGTTTGTTTGAGAGAACCAAAGTGGCTGGTGCCCCAGCTTCAGGGCTCAAAGACATCCACAGGACAGACCCTCCCCGGTCAACCACCAAGGCCCAGGAAGCAGCCCAGGACCATTAACAAACATGGAATAATAACTGAGCCAGCCCCCAAGGAGGTTGCAGTGCCAAGGCCCCTGCCACCCATCCTTTGTCCCAAATTTCCTGCACCACTGTCTCAAGGTTTCTGTTGCTGCGATAAACACCGTGGCCATAAGCAAGTTGGGGAGGAGAGGGTTTATTTACTTCCGAGTCACAGTCTGTCATCCAAAGAAGTCAGGGAAGGCGCGAAGTCATGGAGGGAGCTGCTGACTGACTTGCTCCCCATGGCTTGCTCAGCCTTTCTTATAGAACCCAGGACCAACAGCCCAGGCGGGGGTAGCCACCCGCAGTGATTGGGCCCTTCTATATCAATCAATCAAGAAAATGGGCCACAGATTAACTTGTGTCAAGCTGAGATAAAACTAGCCGGCACCACCACCCTGTCCTTTGCCCTCAATGGCCACCTGTTGGTCTCTGGCCCACTGAGAGCCATGCATAGAATATTAACCCCTCATCTTCTTGATGAGAAACCACCCTTTTGTTTTCTCTAACTTAGCATTCAAACTTTCACTTTATTCAGTTATTGGTGTAAGCAACTAACCACTGAGTGTCAGCAACGCCTGGGAATCTGCCACCCCCAGAACTCCTAGGTTTGTTCACTTCACGGGATCTTGGCAACACTTTCTCAAAATCCACCCTTGTTTATCACGACTTCAAAATCAAGGTGCCTGTTAGACCTGCTCCAGGCTCTCTTATCTCATGCATTAATATAAACGCGTAGGACCACATCATGAATTCATTTAACATTGTGATAGCTGCATTTCTGCATAATTGGTTTTCCTTGTAATCTTTTACTTATTTGATGCATTTTAAAACACTGCACCAAGCTGGGCATGGTGGCATCCTAGCACTTGGGAGGCTGAGGCAAGAGGAGGGAAACTCAGAGGCCAGCCTGGGCTACACAACTGAGATCCTTTGTATATATCTGGTTAATAAATAAAGGGTATTAAAGGAGGATGCTGCTTTGGTCTGTCCCTAAGGTCCTCATGCAGAGGCTTGGTCTTCAGTGTAACAGTAGTCACGGACCTTTAAAAGGTCTGGGGCTTTCTGGGAGATGACCAGGAATTCATGCTATTTAATTAATTAGTTAGGGAGTTAGGTCTCATGGGACTGTTAGAGTTACTATACAGTGAGTTTTCACAAAGTGAGGTCAGCCGGCTGTCTTGCCAAGGACCTCTCTTTTACACACAAGCTACTTGTCCCTTCCACTGGATGTCACCAAGGTCTAAGA